TCCAGAAGATAATTCCAGGGGGCTTGGGTTCCCCTTCATATATAAAAATGTGCTTAACCTCAGTAGCCATTGGAAAAATGCAAATAAAAGACAAAACAAGACACCACTTTACCTCATCAGAATGGCAAAATGAAACAGTTGCTAATACCAAGTTTGGGGGAAATGGGGAAAAACAGAAACTCTCACGCACTGCCGGGTGGTGGTAGAAACTGATACACTCCATAACTCTCTTTGACAGTTTCTCTTAAATCTGAGCCACATCCGTCTGCAGCTCTCCTCTTAGGTATATGCCAACAAGAAATGCAGGCAAACTGACATTATGCGAAAGTGCCCAAAACGAGAAACGACACAAATCTCCATCAACAGAGACTGGAGACATGTAACCATCCCGTGGAATATTATACAGCAGTGCACACAAATCAACACTGCGGCCTGCAACAGCACGGGTGAGCCCCACAAGCAGATCCAGTCAAGCACAAAAAAAGTACATATTGTATGATTTGATTTTTATAAATAATTCACAAATAGGCAAAACTAATCTGTGGTGTTAGAAGCAAGACAGTGGTCATTCGGGAAAGGAGGCAGGGAGCGGTGGGGAGAGGGCGGGGAGGAGTTCCTGGGGCTCTGGTAATGTCCTGGGTCTCCGTCTGAGTGATGGTTACGGGACTGGGCTCACCATGGGGTTGTTTACCTACTGGAGTCTCTGGGCCGCGCTGGAAGAAGAAGAGTTGTCTTGGGCCACATATTAAATACACAAACACTAACAAAAACTGATAAGAAAATAAAGGTTTTAAGTAAATTTATAACTTCGTGTTGGGCCACATTCATAGCCATTCTGAGCTGCATGTCGCCCGCAGACCTCAGGCTGGACACTCTTGTAAGTGTCCGCTGTGACTCAGGCAGTTTTCTGAATGTATATTATACATTAATTTTTAAGTATTTAATTTCTACAAAAGTAATTACCATACAATGTGATACATGTAACTATCCCCAAACATGATTATATTTCATGTACATATATGACTCCTGTGGACCAGAGAGCTTAAGTGATTTCCCCAAAGTCACACAGGCAGTGAGTGGTAAGCCAACTCTATCTAGGTTTCAAGATTCCAAGGCCAGTACCCTTTCTACTATATTCTATTGCTTCCACCTATATATCAAAGCTTCACCCATAAACCCCACTCTTGGCAAGACCGGTCAAATTTGCCCCCAATTCATGTGAAGAAGAAACAATTGATATTCAAGACATTTTTTTGGGCCATAAGCTAACCTTGATGCAAAGACAGCTCTGCAGTGAGTATTAGCTCAACTCAACACTCAGTTCTTTTGCCTAGCATATATAAGTCATTCCTGCGCAAACACCTCATCAAGAAGGCACCAAACCGAGGCAGCCCCCCTTCCGCCAGCCTTCCTAGACAGCTGCTGAGCTGCTGACCTCATGTCTGATACTGCGGCTTTGGCAAAGACGCTGTCTTGCTCTTCCCAGACCCGTTGTTGCCTTAAGGGTCTGTTTGAGTCAACTTAAAACAAAAATTAAGGAAAAAAGACAGAGAAAATGTAAAATTGAACTAAATTGAGAAAAGACAGTGTCAACTCGCTGGGTTGCACCTGGATTTTATGTGCCTCTTGTGATTGTGGGTGTCTCGTGGGAAGGAAGAATAGAGCGCTTTGTCCCGGGAAAAGTTTAACATCACCGGATTCATCACAGTTCAAAGAGACCTGAAAGGTGAACGTCTAAGAGCAGAGGATAATGAAGGCAATACTTGGGGAGCATTTCACAGGTGCCAAAGCCTGTTCACATTTCTCAGTGGAGCCTCCCCAGCAATCATTTCAGGTACGATAATGTTATTACCCTCTCTTAGTTAGAGACAAGGAGATCAAAACTCGGGCCATTTGCGGAGTTACTAAGTGGCAGCCTCCTGTTACTGGTATCAGATTGGTTGAGTCCAAATTCCAAGCTCTTCCCACCTGCCACACTATAAACCACACCCAGCTCTATGGGGACACCTGAAATGTGTCATCGCTACTTCTCAAGAAGCTCTGGAGCCAGAGACCAATAGGGTTCCTTGATACCCTTAACAGTTAAGGAGTAGTTACATTTATACAGTCCTAAAATTATTTCAGCCCTTTGAAGGCCACCACGAGGTTGGCGTGTCTCTCGGTGAAAATGAGTTTGACACCCCTGGTACAGAGCATCCTGCAGTCAGCCGTCTAGTGAGAGGCTTAACCACTGCAGAAGGCTTGGCCAGTTTGCATTAACAGCATTTCAAAGTTAATGAAGAGAGAGCAAAATCAGCTTAGGGGATGCAGCCCTCACCTCCCGTGTTATTTCCCGCCATAGATGAAACGCTGCCCTCATAGTGCCGAAACCTGCGGTTGTCAAAGAACCCACCGTGCTGCCGCGCTGACTCCTGCAAAGCCACAAAGCAAATCAATTTGAAAGCATGTCCTGGAGGATGGACAGGGAACATACACAACCAGCAGGTCCGCGATGAAGACCTGCCCAAGAAAGAGATGGGAAGGTCCCATGGATCACCCATGTCTCCCCAGAGGACCTTAGAGCCCTGCCACACGCTTCCCAAGGAGGAGCCCTTTAAGTAGAGCTTCAGACTAGAAAATTCTCTGGCCAGGTTTCTCCCAGCAGCAGAAGTAACACCACAGGAGACCATTAAAAGACCCCTCACCTCCTGTTAGCATCACCCTCCCAGGGCAGAAGCCTGCCATACATACGACAAGGGAAACCTACGCGCTATTTATAATAAATGGTGTAATGGATCGATCTAAAAATCAATAGCTTTTTTTTAACAGTGAGCTTTCTTGCTCACAGTCTAGCCCTAAACAACAACAAGGGTGAAAGAGACTGCTGTCCACACAAGTGAGGAAGGAGGACTCAGAAAGAAAAAACTCCCTTGTGTGGGAGACCCGGCAGATGTAAAGAACTTCCTGTTTGGGGAAGGACCATTCTTTGCACACGTGTTCTGACTGCCCTGTAACAACCTCTCTTTGCTGGGCAAACTGGAGATGGGCAACAGTTTAAATATTGCTGCGTCGCCGTCACTTCTCTGAAAGTATGCCCACAGAGACACTTTGGTGGGCATAGCCGGCTGGCTGGTGGGGTTGCAGGCCCAGAGCCGAGCCCCAAGTAGCTGCTCACTGCCTTTTCCTCCCCAAGGTTCCTGAAGTTCTGCTGATTGTGCCCCAGAGGCCCCGGCTCTTTCTGAATGTAGCATGAGCTCACACAGCAGCTCTGGGCACGCACGGGCTCGGCAGAAGGAACCCAGCCGAGCCAGCGGGCCTGCTCCCGTGGCCAGAAGGAGTGGGCCAGGCTCGCTTTTAGAAGAGCCAACCCACAGAGTTCAGGCCCCGGCCCTTTAAAAGCCCTTCCCTGTAGCAACAAGACTGGGAGCTGGTTTCCCCCCTTCCTGCTGCTGTCTCTGCCATCAAAAGGAAGAAAATCCTGGGCCTGGAAAAGTGGTTGCCGTGGGCTAGAGCCCAGCACAGCACGGCAGACACCCAGACATCTGTCAAGAGCAAGTATTGATGTTTATTGACTGTCTGCAGACAGAGGCTGCATCGAGAGCTCCGGGGTTACTGAGGATCAGCCTCAAGAGAAGGCCCAGAAATACCTCATTACCTGTGCAGAACACTCTGCACACCGGGGCCCTGTGCTGGAGGGCTGGCCGAGACTGTACAATCATACCAGGCACAATATAAACTCAGCAGCTGAAGTCGACATGCACCATAATCAGTGGTTCTCAACCAGCGCAGTAGTAACCCCCCCCCCCGCGCCGTGGGCCATTCAAAAACTCAGGATTTGGATTTGGGATGCTCATAGTATCTGGGAGATACTATTGGCCTTTAGAGAGTAAGCACTAAGGATGCAGAGTCTCTGGCAATGCAGAAGACAATCCTACACTAAGAACTGTCCTACCCAAAATGCCGTAGTGTCCTTGTTGAGAAAACACAATACCCGCCCTCCTTTATCCTCAGCCTGATTTTGTTTTGTCTTCCTTGAACTCATGTTGCAGTCTCCTGCAATGCCCTGCACTTTGAGGAACTCACAAGTTTACATGAGCAGGCTGTTTGTGTGGACCTCATACCCACTGGCACGGGAAGCTGTGCAGTATAGTCTCAAAAGCAGGGGCTCCCATGAGCTTTACAAGGTTAAAGCCCACTTGTGTGACCATGGTCAGCTTCTTCTCTGTACACGTGGAGAATAATTTGCTCCTCCCTCATAGAATTGTTCTGAGGATTCAATGAGATCAAGTATTTACGGGGCCGTGCTCAATAAATCTAGCATTTTTACTATTAGAGAACTTGTAGCCCAGGAATCTGGATGTAAATGTTTCGGGTGCAGACACAACTGGGGTAATAAAGACTGACAGGGAGGCAGAAAATTGAGCTTCAGACTCCAGGTCCACACTTTTACCCAGGAGGCCTTAGACCAATCAACCTCCCAGAGCTCCATCTTTCCACACTTGGAAACATTAACCAGAACAATAAATCCTCACAGGGCGATTGTGAGGATTAACCGAAATTAGGAAGTGAGAGTGATTTGACCGCTGCAAAGGGTGGAACAAATACCAAGTATCTGTCACACACTGCGTCGACGTAGACTCATCCAAAGTTAGAATATTCCACCCACATGTTGGTGTTCCCGCCTTCACTTAGGATGACATCATTTCCTCTGTGATTTAAAGCAATCAGTGCAATAACATATAGGAAGATGTTCCCCCTCACTAATAATAAAAGATGCATATTAAAATATCAAGAGACCATTTTTCACATAACACGTTGGCAAAGATTCAAAAGGCAGATGATGTTCAGTGTTGGTGAACAGGCTTCTTATATATAAACACTGTGGGTGGGAATATTAATTGGTACAATATTTCTAGAAGACAATATGGAGAGACATACCAAAAATTATATATATGCATACATATATATATAAAGGAAATCATTACTACTCACAAAAAAATGTACAAATGTGTTTATTGCAGCTTTCCTTACAATGGATAAAGATTGAAAATAGTTCTTTATACGTTCTTCAACTAATGATTGATTAAATAAATAATGTCACATTCACATTTTGGAATATAAGCAGTCATTACAAACTACAGCGATATGTAGTCTGGTGGAGAGATGTTTGTATTAAAATATTGAGTGACAAATAGGAAATTATTGGAAAGTACTATGGTACAATTCAATTATTGCAAAAAAAAACACAAGTATTTTGTAGCTACATTTCAAAAGTCTAAAAAACATATAGTAGACTCAGTGGTTACATACAAGAACAGAATGAGAGAAATGGTTTTCAATTTATGAGGTCTGTCCAGAAAAAGTCCAGCCATTGTTAATACAACAAAAACGGCTTGCATGAAATCGATGTAACCTGGCAGCCAAGGAGAGTGGACTGGGGTGCACATTTGTGAACAAGGATGACTTCACTGTACTAGACAGTGGGGGTGGTAGATGCTGTTGAGGGAGCATGTGTACTGTGTGGCCACCGCATTCAAAATGACTGAGTGAGTAGAGCAACAGATTTGCATCAAACTTCACATTAAGCTTGAACATTCCTCTGTGGAAACTACTCAGATGATTCAGAAGGCCACAGCTGTGGGCAACTGGTGACTGGCAGCTTCATCACGACCACGTGCCTGCTCATGCATCACATCTCATACAGAGATTTTTGGCAAAACATCAAATCACCCAGGTGACTCGTGCTCCCTATAGACTATATTTGGCACCCTGTGACTTCTGGCTTTTCCCAAAACTAAAATCACCTTTGAAAGGAAAGAAATTTCAGATCATCAATGAGACTCAGGAAAATCCGATGGGGCAGCTGATGAAGATTGGGAGAACTGTGTGAGGTCCCAAGGTGCCTACTTTGAAGGGGACTGAGGCATCATCGTCCTGGGTACAATGTGTCTTGTATCTTCTTCAATAGGTGTCTCTAGTTTTCATGTTACGTGGCTGAATACTTTCTGGACAGACCTGGTGTAGCTAAAGGTACATTCTACAGAAGGCCAAATGGTCAAGGGTTAAAATTAAGCCAGAGAAAAAACCAAGGTGTATGCATAATTTACATTACAACCTTATTATTGCAACTTTGTATTAAAACTAATTGAAATTGGGGGGGCGGCTGACAGAGAGTCTAACACGGTTTTTCTGGATTGTCCACTTAAAGGGATGTTCCCTGGCCTCTCCACTGCACATCTGTGTCACTGAAGAGATGGTCACAGCCAAGGTGGGTAAGAAGCAACATATTTTGAGGAGAGTCTTGTTTTTCTCTAATAGTGTCTTTTTTCCCCATTCTTTTCCTGTTCTCTCTTATGTCTGAGTCCACACCATGTATCACAGATGTTGTGTGCAATTTTTGAATGTTTTCTCCTTCTAAAATGTTCAGGTAATAAACTTGACATTTTGTCTTTATTCATCCTCACAAATGTGAAGGATCCTCAGATGTGGCTTTTTCTTGAAAGATTCACAGCCTAAGTAGAATTAAACATTTAAAAATTAAAAACAGTTTTGAAAGGTTGTTTTGCTCAATGTCATGAATGTTATTACAACAAATAATTCTATAAAATGAGACTTACAGACATAATCTAATTGTCTTAGTCAACTAAGACCCTTATAACAAATTGCCATGGATATAAGCAACAAACAGTTATTTCTCACAGTTCTGGTGGCTGGAAGTGCGAGATCAAGGTACCAACAGATGCGCTGTCTGGTGAAGACCCTCTTCCTGGTTCGCAGATGAGGTCATCTTGCAGAGTCCACAGAGCGGAACAAGAGAGCGGGGTCTCTGGTCTTTCACAAGGGTCTACTAATCCCATCATGGAGCCCCACACTCATGACCTCACCTGTTCTTATTAGTTCCCAAATTCCTGACCTCCGACTGGCATCAAACTGTGGGTTAGGGTTTCAACATGAATTTGGGGGGAAATGCAAACATTTAGTCCATAGCACTAATCCATGTTTTTATCTTGTTATTTCTTAGGTTTTTATCATATTTTTGGTTCCCCAAAAGGATGTGAAGACATAATTTTTTCCCAAAGTGGTCTACCTAGCATATTCTCTCCTACCATTCATAGTAACGGTCGGTTATTCCCATTTGATCAACTGTGTGAAAGTCCATAATCTTTATACGTAAAATTAACAACTTTCACACTCATACCACTTAGCTCTTGCGATAACAAATACACATTTCTCTTTATCTGATTGATAGGATTTCAACATATAAACACAAATGAGATTACCACTCCAAGTTACACCTGGGGGTCTTGCCTCTACTTCAAAACTAATGTTTAACTATTACCGAACCTGAATGCCAGGCCTCCTTCACGTCACCACCGTACTGGGATTAGACATGAAGCACTCACACAGTCACGGATCACACGCAGGTTCAGGGATGCCAGAAGTGACACTGGAGTTGGCATCAACCATCTGGGTTTCCAGAAGCCAAGCCCAAAGCTGAGGCCAAATACCAGACTCGGGCAGGGGACCAAGGCCGAAGTGGACCTGCAGTGCGTTTCTCACTGACCCTTGTCACGCTGTTTGATATTTTTTTACAAGGACATATTTTATGATTGAACAGATATTTCTATTAAAATTCTACACAAAAGTACCAGCACCTCCTCTCCCCATCCCACCAAAAAAAAACCATATTAGATTGGACCTATAAATAGTTCCCAACCTTTTCAAATGTGGTTGTTGCAGATTATACAATCTCAGAGTTTGCAGTCTTCTCAGAGGTCAACGGGACCCACTGTGCCTCCCACTCGGAAGTTCCCGGTGGACTCAGCTCTTTCCTCAGCATCAGCGTCTCCCACTCCACAACACAGTTCCACATGCTGCAGAGGCTGCTGGCTCGGTCACAGGTCAGACTACATCCATCCCCTGGGCAAAGCCGTCTAGGACTTCTTTCACAGAGTAAAGCCTAACTCCTCGAGGGTGGCATTTAGCATCTCCCAAAAGATGGCCTCACCTTAGCTTTTCCATCTCATCACAGGCCACCCTCCTCTGCCGAACGATGCCCCTGGTACCCCAGATTCTGTTGCTCCTGTTCCCGTCACCTCACTTCCTTCAAGCTCTTCCTGGTGAACTTGTGCTCACCCTTCAAGATCCAGCATCATGATCACCAGCTCCATAAAGTCCTCTCCCACCATGACCCAGCATTATTCTTCTGTCTTGGCTGCCAGTACAGACAGGAAGCGCCTCCTCACAAATATGCAAATTCCTAAAACCAAGGACCACATCATTATTATCTTTATTATCCCTCTGCACAAAGGTAGCCAATACCTCCTTCCAGAATAGGATTTCTGCAAACATTGAAACAAGGAATGAGCGAATAAGTATATATTAGTCCCAAATTTTTGTGTGAATTTTATACCTATCCCTTGATACTATAGGAAGTGTTCTGGATAGATTGCCAAGCCAGAGTTAGAAGTCACTGGGCCGTCTGTTTTCAAATCTCATTCTCCAGGGACCCCAAGTTCACAGTAGGGATGGAGGGCCCCTGTGGGACCCTCCCTACCCACCTGCAGGTACGGAGCAGATCCTCTCTGCTCTTTACACCCAGGTTTCCAGGGATGGTGTGTTTGCAGGGCAGAAGTGGGGGAAGTTGTTGCCCCCCTCTTGCCTCACTTCAGAAGTGAGGAAGAGGCTGAAAACAGCTGTCTTAGCCCCAGGGGCCATGGTTTGATGAGCAGGCCCAAACTGAGAAATTCACCTATAATGCAAGAATGTCATTGAAATAAACGGTGTTGGCCTGAGGGTAGAACTGCAGCTTCCTCTGAGACCACCCCTGCGTCCCTGGGAGGTGCCCACTCTCCCCACCTACCTATAAAGCAGAGTCACCAGTGCCTGCCTGGGGGTGGGGGAGAGAGGGGAGTTGAGGTATAACAAACATAAAGTTTGTAAAGTGGAATAGTCTTGAGTTCACAGAGCAATGGGTTTTAACTCTACATACCCTGTGCAACCTCTGCTCAACTCAGGATCCAAACCAGTCCTTTCCAGCACCTTCCAGGACTCCCTCATGCCCCTCTTCACTTATACAACACCATCCGCCCTCGAGAATGTTAACACTGCTCTGACCTCTTTGCCCATAGTTCAGTGTTGCCGGCTTTTAAACTCCATGTAAGTTGCAACCTATGTATTCTTTTGTCTCCTTCCATTCCACATAATAGCTGGAGTTTCACTAAGCTACTGTATATTTTCTTTAATTGTTGAAACAGCCAAATAAAATATCAGAGAAGGAAAGAATTTAGAAGGCACAAAACAAAAATATTAGCTGTGTCTTAGGTAGTCTGTAGGCTACGAGCTTCTTGAGAGTCAAAACGATGTCTTACTCACTTTTTATATTTCCATGGTTGAATTGAAAATTGTTATGACTGCATAGACCACCTGGCCTTTTATATCCCATCTTTTCTTTACCTGCAGCCTAATCGCCCCCCCCCCACCCCTGCCACCCCTCCAACACCAGCCAGTCCTCCTGGGCTCTGTCTTTTGTCTTTCCTCTGTGGCCCGTGCACAGGGTCTCTCCCTGTCTGCAACTCTGTTGCTTCCCTCTCCAGACACCAGAATGACTCACCAGGAGAGAAGGGAGCTGGGAGGGCATGGGGTTGAGCAGCTGCAAGGCCTAGACAGAGAACTGTAAGGAGAGGACTGCTGGCCAGCCCAGGAGAAGAGCTGGAAGCAGCAATGCCTAGACTCAGCGGTCAGACAGGAGACTGAGGCCGGCCCAGAGGGGGCCGGCCAGGCTCCAGATCTGGGAGCTGCGGCCCCCGGTCTTCGCCTGAGGCCCACGGCCTTCCCTCCTGGATATGAACCATGGCCAAGGTTAGAGCTCACCCCAGCTGTCAGGGTGCACTGTCACTCCAGCTGTTCCTGAGCAATGGGTTCCTGTTGCCAAGATATGGATTTGGTTTTAATAACAGTTAGTGCAAACACTGTAAATTTACTGCTGCGAGAGAGAGTTTTTGAAAACGTCCACTCTGGCTATAATTTTTCAGCCGCGCCAGCTGTTTGTGCTCGGCTCATACCTGACATGGTGCTTTGAAATAGCAATCACTGTATTTATAAGAAGGCAAGGACTCATAAATATGTCACAAGTGGAATATACAATGCCATATTTCACCATTTTCTATTTTAAAATTGTGAGTTATGGCTGCAGAAATGCACGCCCATTAAAGGTGATATGATGTATTTTCTGCCCTGTTCAGGAGTCCATCCATCATCGAGACAATAAAGAAAACCGCACTTACTTTTTTCCTGTCGTCTGTAATTTATGATCCCCAAAAAGCTGTAACCTTTTGGCAGGCTTTGCAGAAACCACTGCACTGTTAGCAACTAAATAACCTTTTATAAGGTTTTAAATGTGTTGCAACAGTCTCAATGCACTTGCTGTATTGATCTAGAAGATCTTGGGGGGAAAAAAGGTAGGGAGAGGAATGGAAGATGATCTATAACAAGATCGATAACGGCATATAGATTGTTGAAAGATGCTTCTAATGATTTTTGCCAGCCATCATCTTTCAGCATGCCACGCCCCATCTCTTAGGCTTTGGTCTTGGCTGGAATTGATTGACCTTGCTTTCCTGCTGCCTCCTCCCTCCCTTCCTCCTGCTGAGCAGCCAGATGGGGAGAACGCATTGGCCACCACAGGTTATTTGCAGAAAAGCTCTGAGAATCACAGAGCTGGAAGGTGCTGTCAAGACAATCTCAGTGCACAGATGAGGAAACTGAGGCCCAGCAAGCACCTGTGTCTTGCCCAAGGTCAAGCGTCAATTTAGGAGCAGAACTCGAACTTCAGATTCCTGGTTTTCAGTCCATCCTTTCCCAACTCTACTACTCCACGTCTCATGTGTGCCCTGGAGGAAGAGGGGGTGCATGGAGCTGGGAAACCCGTTGTGATGGGCTTTGCAGAGCCTGCTGGCAATGGGGTGTAGTGGGAAGACGATGAGCTTGGGAATCAGATAGAAGCAGGCTAAATCTGGACCCTGCCTCCCACTCCTCCGGGCAGTAACTGACCTACCTGGATCTCTGCTGCTCTGCCTGTCCCCTGGCAATCCTGATCTACCTCGTAAGGGGGTAGAGAAGACTAATTAGATCTGGTGTCCACGAGACACGGAGCACAAAGCCTGGCATGTGGCAGGTGAACAGTAAAAGAAAGTGGCTTCTGTCCTGCCCCACCCCCCACCCTCCAGCACAATGGTGATGAAATGTTCAGGGAAGAGTCAGCTATGGAGGAAAGTAGGAGAATCTTTCCAACCACCACACCTCTGGTACAGCAGTATTTCCTTGATTGTCCCAGATGAGAGCAGCTGAGGTGAACACAATTATTTCTCCCTCTCTGAGCATGAGCTGAGCCAAACTCCTGGGGCATAGAGACGAGGTCTGTGCAGTCCCCTGTGAAGGTACCCAAGGACAGGAGGCCATGGGTAATGGAGGTTTTAACGCTATACTCTTGGTAGGAAAAATTTGCAGGAAAAAAATGTTCCTGTGAAGCCACCAGACTGTGGTGCAGTGGATGTGCCTCAGGGGACTCTTCTTCCAGACAGGCCTGTATTCCCAGACATCAGTGGTTGTATCCTCGGAGCACGCTCCTTCGGAGCAGGTGTCGAAAAAACCTACGTGCTGCAGGACAGATCTGGCCATGGCCAGTGTATGTGAATCAAGTTTCATTTTCACACAGCCGTGCCCACTTGATTAGGTGTCATCAGGGGCCGGTCGGAGCTGCCACCACAGAGGTGAGCCCAGAGAGACTGGGAGGCCTGCCAGACCCCCAATCCTCACCAACCAAGCCCTCTCCGAAACCCCTTCTCCAGAGCGTCCCCAGCAATGCCACACGCCAGAGGCGGCATCCCAGTAGACGGCAATCAATAATTATTATACATACGGCAATGTCTAGTTTACAAGAGCGTTCGACAACATGATGTGAGTACACGGCCCAGCAGCCCTATGGGATGGAGATCTCGGTGGTTGCTGTTACAGAAGAGCAAACCGAGGCCCGAAGATGCCCAGGGAGTCGGGGGCAGGGCTGGGTCCTGAGCGTGTATGGTGTGCTGGGAGGCCCAGCTTCCCCACACCCCCATCCTGAAATGGAAACCCCCAGTCCCCACCAATGCCCCTCCAGTACTACGGTTCGCCAGCTAGTCACCAGGAAGGTCACTTGGCCCCTCTCAACCTTAGTATCCAAAATGATGAGTCAATAAAACTCTCATTCTGAAAGATGCTGAGGCACTCTCCCATCTCACGGGCACCCTGTGAAACATTTCCGGGGCAAAAGCCCTGTTTCTCTCACCCAGTGTGGCACCCATTTCCCCACAAAGAGGCCATCTGAGAAGCTAGCGAGGTGGGCCTGGGGCCAGGAAAGAGCAGGAAGAAGGCTGCACTTTGTGGACTGGCCTTGCCGAAGCCTGCTGAGTGTCCTGCAGCCCACACCCACGTCAGAGCACGCGGACGGTAACACAGCAGGACTCCTCCCCGGCTCCTGGTCGTGGGCCCCCAGAGAAAAAGCGCTCTGTCAGTGGGGCTGCCCCTCCCACCTGTGGGGGAAGGCAGGGCAGGGGCAGGCGATAACAGGCGTACGAGCAGTCGTCCCTGCCACATGTCCTCCCATCTTTCTGTGTCGAAGTCACTGTCTTTCCCCCTCTCGCCATGAGCTCACCCAGAGCACCCCCCAATCATTATTAACATTATAAATAAAAACGAGAGGCAAGTTATTAAATGTAAAATATGCAGAGTTCCTCCCAGAACTCGCAGGGCAGTTCATAAACGTGACGGCTTAATTTTGCTGCTGATCCAGCCAGCTGATGAAGCATCTCTGGCCCATGGGCTAATTGAAGTTGTTAACGAAGCAGAGGAGAGAGGGGTTTGGGGAAGGCTTTTGTCCTGCCTGCGGGGATCAGAACAGCAGCCCTGGGCGGAGGTGGAGTCCACACACTCCGCCAGGTCACTGCAGGCACCTACTCCAGGGACCTAGAAATTCCCGAAAAGGGAGCTCCTTCACCACATACACAGCCCTGCTCCTCGGCTGAGCTCCCAGAGCCCCACCGCCGGAGCCCACTTTAAGAGCCTCGTCCTTCCCTAGAGGAAAGCATTTTCAAACAGGGCATGGGGTAGGTTCTAGAGAGGATTGATTTTAGAGCCAGAGACACTCCCGCTTTCAGGAGCACTTGCCCTCAGTACCCAGGCTGAGTGGAAACAGCCCAAATGTCCATCAACAGATGGACAGATGAACAAATGTGGCCAATCCACACAATGGAATATCGTGCAGGCATAAAGTAGAAATAAGTACTGATATGCTACAACGTGGACAATTCTTTTTTCTAAGATTTTATTTATTTATTTTTACAGAGAGAGGAAGGGTGGGAGAAAGAGACAGAGAGAAAGATCAATGTGTAGTTGCCTCTCATGCACCCCCTACTGGGGACCAGGCCTGCAACCCAGGCATGTGCCCTGACTGGAAATCGAACTAGCGACCCTTTACTTCGCAGTCCGGTGCTCAATTCACTGAGCCACGCCAGCCAAGGCAATATGGACAATTCTTGAGAACATTATGCACAGTGAGAAAAGGCAGGCACAAAGGTCACACAGTGTATGGTTCCATGTATACGAACTGTCCAGAATAATCAGGACAACTGTAATAGCACAAACAATAAATTATAACTTTAAAAAAGGCCCAGACTAGGTAAATCCATACAGATGAAAAGTAGATTAGTGGTTGCCAGGGGCCAGGGTGGGGGAGCATGAGCAGTGACTGTGTAATGTGTACAAGTTTTATTGCAGGAGGGTGATAAAAATGTTTTGGAGCTAGATAGAAGTGGTAGCTGCACAACATTGTAAATTACCAAATGCTACAGCATTGTTCACTTTAAAAAGATTAATCTGATGTTATATGAATTTTACCTTAATAAAAACAATGACAAAAATAAAAACCCAGCTTCAGGTTGGCATGACCCTCCACATCCATGAAAGTGCCTCCGATTTTTCAGTGGGAAACCCCGTCACTTATGATCCCAGCTCCCTGTACAATAAGGGGCAGCCAGTTCGCCTCTGGCTTCGCCTCTCCGGCCCACCTAAGAGTCAGAAACAAAGGCCAGCTTTTGCCCCCACTGGCGGTCGTGGGGAAGAAGCTAAGGAGACGTGGGAGCGAGAGCAGAAAGAACCAAGAGTCTGAGGTCAAAAGGAGCTCACTGCACTCCTGGCCCTGCCATGGTCTAGCCGTGAGATTTTGTGTAAGTCCCCGAAATTCTCTTTTCCTCAATTTCCTCATCTGTAAAGCAGGGACAGTAGGGTTGGCCTGGTCTTCTTCGTGGATTGGTTGTCAGCATCAAAGGAGATATTTTGCATTGTCATTATTGGACACTCTTTAAAAACCAGTGCATCGACCTACGAGTATTTATTAAATTCCTAATAGTGTGCTGAGTGATGTGCAGGAAGCAGAAAAGGGGAACTGGGAACAGATGGGAAGCAAAGAACAGGTTTCAGAGACAGTCCCTGGCCTCCATACAGGGAGGCAAAACCAGCACAAAGGAAAGCACTGGAAAGTAGAGGACCCGGTGTACGGTCAGCACTGAGGTGCACTTGGCCGGCTGGAACCCTGTGGGCTCCAAACGCTGAGGGCCCAGGGTCCGGGGTTCTGGGCTCGCTCTGTGGCCGGTCCTGAGCCATCTGGGAGTCACCTACATATTTCGGCTTTAGTTTCCTTGTTTTTAAGCTGAGACAGTGAGATTTAAAGTCCTCAAAGATCCTTTCTAGCTTTAAAAAATCTGACACTAAGCAAAATTAAAAGGCAGACCAGGAAATATATTTTTAATAAATATGTCAGAGATGGATGCTCTTAATATGTAAAAGGACTTTTAAAAATCAATAGGAAAAAGATAAATCACCCAAAAGGAAAAAAATAGGTAAATAATACAGAATTGTATACAAAGATTTTTCCCACTAATTATAGTACAGAAAAATTGAAAACCATCTAAATCCAAAGCAATAAGAATAGTTTCATTTTAATCATACAGTCATATTACATAGTCATTAATAATAATATTTTTCATAATACTTAAAAATAAAGTGTTTATAATAAAAAGGAAGAAGAAGTGAAAACTTTCAGTGTTCTGGTTTTATGTTTTGTTTCCCTCCAAAAAAAGAAAAACAGACAGTTATGAGTAGATGATAAATAGGCTAAAAGGGTATACATCAAGAAGTTAACAGTAGTTACCTCTGAACATGGGTTAATAATTTTATTTCTCCTTTATACTTCTATATTTTTCTGAATTTCTATAATAAACACATTATATTCTAATTTAGAAAAATCTTTAATCTGTGATACAATAGAACAGCAAATTCAGGGTTCTACACTCAGCTCCATTAAAATTTCATTGTAGCACCAAAGTGATAAAACCTTCACTAAAATAAATCTTCAAAGGTTATTAAAAATGGCCTTTATTATTCTGCTGCTGTTTCACTATAATAGCGTCTATCTCACTTAATTGTTGGTTAACCTACCTATATTTTCAACTATACGTAAAATTTCTTGAGGACGGAAATCTAGTCAAATTTATCCATAGTCAAATGCTGCAATAGGCACTGGATAAGTCTTTGTTGAATGAAGGGTAAGAATTGAGAGATCATCCATTGATCTAGAAGACATTGGATTGGGCAAGAGAGAGTGAGGGCTGAGCCTTGAAGGAGAGATAGCAGTGGCATATTTTTTCTGATTTTATTTATTTATCTTTAGAGGGGAAGGGAAGGAGAGAGGGGAATATCAATGTATGGCCACCTCTCATGCGTCCCCTGCTGGGAACTGGCCTGCAACCTACGCATGTGCCCTGACTGGGAATCGAACCGAGGTTGTTTGGTTTGCAAGCTCGAGCTCAATCCACTGAGCTATACCAGCCAGGACAGCAGTGGCGTATTTATAAATTCATTCATCTGTTCAGTGGACCTGCCAGGTCCTGAGTACTGTGCCGGAAACTAAGGATACTGAGTTAAATAAGACACAGAGGTTCACTGCCTAGGGACAGAGGTGGAAGTGAAAAAAAATGATGGAAATAAAATAATAAAACTAGAATAGGGAGCACAAAGGAAGAGGCTATTCACCCTGCTGGTGCTGGAGGGCAGGAGGAGAGTCAGAGGAGGGACAGGGCCTCCAGGACAGTGAGAGAGGGAAAGGGGGAAAGGACAGAGATCAAAACCAAGGCTGGAGTGCTGGGGAGAGAGGCGGGCGTGGGAGACAGCCCACTCGGGCTGCCAGATAGCTCCTCTTTTTTCCCATCACCCACCTCCACACATAGTTCAGGTGGGGAGCTACAGCACTAGGAACATGCACACCCTGTCAGGATGGCTCATCATGCACCTGTACCTGGGTTGGTGTCCCTGTCACAGAGTCCAGAGAACTCTCCCTGTGACCATTGTCTTGGGCCTCGATGCCCAACTCAGCAGGAGTCCCATTTCCCCACATGCTGGGCTGGGAATGTGTGTCCAACTTTATCGGGGAAATTATTTTAACCTCGAGAAGATTGGGGAGCCCACATGCAGGCCATCTGTGACAGAATTCCATCACCTCATAGTCAAAAAGGATGCTGTTTCCAGTGGGATTGCCCTACCTGGTGAGCTGGTGGAACTTCTCCCAGGGAACCAGCGCTCCCAAAACACACAGTCTTCTGCACACAAGGAAGGGGTTACTTCATCCAGGAAATGCCAGCCTCTACCTCAGTGTCCTGGTTGCCGGCTCTGATCTGGAACGCATTATCTGAACACAGGCAAATGTAAATTAATGTAGTCTTCAGGTTGGGCTTCTCAGCAAGGTAACGAAATGTTGACATCAGCCTGAAAGTCAAATTAGGCTCTGCATTATGTGGTGTGACCTGAGGTGTTGACACCCTGGCCGTCTGCCTTCCGAGCTTCGGGAAAGCACGTGATTGGGAACAGAGCTCATGACTTCAGCTGCTTCCCAGAACACCGCTGGACAGCAAAGAATCCTTGGTGAGCAAATCCGTGAGGTTGCTTCAGCCTCTTCCAGGAAATGTGTGTGATGTGTCTGTCGCCCTTCACACCGTTACCACATGTCTACTACGTGCCTGACACTGGTAGGTACTGGAGAGCAGCAGGAAACTTCCAGAGGTAGAGCAGAGACAGATCCAGCCTACAGAATCTTCCCAAGCCCATTGTGATCTCTAGCCACTACCCCATAGCTCTCCTTGTTGTGCTGGCCAAGTCACTGTTACCACGTGCCTTTCCTTCCCCATGTCCCAACTACCACTCAGTCCACTGTGGGCTGCCTCTGCCCCCACCTCTCCCTGGAAGCTGCTCCCACCCAGGACACCAGAAACCTCCTTGCCGTCAAACCCAAGGATGAGACTCATTCCTCTGCTTACCCAGCCTCCTTCCAATGCTCATCTGTTGATGCATCACTCTTTTGAGAAATTTTTTCTTCCCCTCCTGTGTGTCACTACTCCCTTAGGTTTTCCACCAAACTTCCTGACATATGATTTCCTTAAAGCCTTCAAAGCCCTCCCCATCTCCAAGAACTACAGATCCAAGCTTCTTGGCCTAAAGCACCTCTTGTGACCCAGCTGCTGCCCAGACTCATCTCCCCACCCTCTCCCCACACCTAACACTACAGCAACCCAACCCATGTACGAAATCCCTCCAAACAACATGCTGCCTCCTGCTGCCTCCTGCATGCATGCCCCTGCCCTCCATCAGCTGTCTCCATCCCACCTGGTGAGCAGAAACTGTTCTTCAGAACCTAGGCAATTGCCATGTCCTGGGTGAGGTCTTCCCCTGCCAGTCTCCACTCTACTTACTCCAGAAAGAGTCACCTACCCCTCCTCTGAACCACCTTTGCTCCCCAAACCCTTTTCCACAACACACTGTTCACATTGTATTGCCATTGCTTCTGGGTCTGTCTTACCCATCAGGATCTAAACTTCTTGAGGGTAGAGGTGATGTCTCACCCTTCTCTGAATATCTAGTTGCTTGCGTGGTGCCTGGCACTTAGTTGAATTTGAAAAATACTTATTGAACAACCTTATGGAGCTTTTCAGATAAGGGGAAAGTGGTACACAGAACAACGCCCTCCCCCAAAGGCATCCCCACCCTAATCTCTGGAACCCGTGGATATGTTACTTTTCATGGCAAAAGGGAATTAAGTTTGCAAATACAATCAAAGTTAAGGACTTTAAGACAGGGAAATTACCCTGGTTTGTCCAGGTGGGCCCAGTCTATCATGTGAATCCTCAAAAGTGAGGAACAGAGACATAACAATGGAAGCAGGGCAGAGAAATGCCATGCTGGCTTTGAAGAAGATACGAGGCCATAAACCAAGGAATGTGGGTGCCCTGTAGAAGCTGGGAAGAGAAAGGAAATGGATTCCCCGCTTGGGTCTCCAGAAGGAATGTAGACCTGCTGACCCTTCCATTTTTGCCCAGTGAGATCCGTGTTGGGCTTCTGACCTACAGAACTGTAAGATAGTAAATGTGTATCCTTTTAAAAAATTTTTTATTGTTGTTCAATTACAGTTGTCCCCATTTCCCCCCCACCAATACTCTACCCTGCCCTACCCGACACACACCTCCCACATTCAGTCCTCTCCATTGTCTTTGTCCATGTGTCCTTTACACATTTTCCTTCCCTTCTCTCCCCTGTGATTCCCCTCTCCTTTCTCCTCTAGTCACTGTCTGTTTTGTTCTTTATTTCCATGTCTATGGTTCTATTTTGCTCACTTATTTGTTTTGTTGATTAGGTTCCACTTATAGGTGAGATCGTATGGTATTTTTCTTCCACAAATACCTGGCTTATTTCACTTAGCACAATGCTCTACAGATCCACCCTGGATCTGGAGGAGCAAGGGGGAGGAGCTCCTTCTTTCTCTCTGCAGCATAGTATTCCATTGTGCAGAGGTACCACAGTTTTTTGATCCACTCATTTACTGATGAACACCTAGGTTGCTTCCAACACTTGGCTATTGTAAATCGTGCTGCTATGAACATTGGGGTGTGTGGGTTCTTTTGATGTGGTGTTTCTGGATTCTTAGCAGTGGAATTCCAGCAATGGAATTGGCAGGTCAAGAGGTGGTTCCATTTACAGTTTTTTGTAAATGGGTATCTTCTAAGCCACTAGGTTTGTGGTCACGTGTTACAGAAGCAATAGAAAAGTTACTACAAAAAAAGAGACAATTCATGAACAAATACCATTAACTAAAAAGAAAAAGAGACCAGCATCATCAAAGAGATGCAAATATGTGTCAGTGGACTTCAGTGAAGGGAAAGGGAACTTTTGGCTGAGGAATTGGGCTACTCTTTCTGGAAAAGGTGACATCACAGCTGATTTTTAAAGGCTTTAGGTTTTAGACACAAGGCAATGGGGGAGTCAAGTGTTGTCACTGGAGAGAGAAGCAAGAAGAAAATCACAGAGGCCAGAGGTCCTGAGGGCAGATGGAGACTGGTCCTATTCTCCCCAGTGTGGAGGGCACAAGGGGAGGTGTAGGAAACCAGAGGGGAACATGTCTTGTGCCCCGGCTCCTCAGACCCTGCCCGGTTGAGGGCACAGCCCACTCCTCAGGAAAGCTGGCCCGTCCCTGGCCCTGACCCTCATCCCACAGTCTCTGATCTTCTCCCTGATTTATATAAGTGCAAATTCACCAGGAGCCTCCCTCCCCAATGCTGTGAGCTCCTGGCCGGGCTGGCATTTATTTATAACCTGGCTGGTCAGACAAAACTTACCCACAGGAAATCACTAGAGAATAAAAGAAGACAGAACACCATATAAGCGCTAACGGCAATATCATTGAGTGCCAAGGGTATATTTTAAGTAGTAAATGCAATGGGAGGCCCATGAAGAAATGCATCATTGTTGGCCAGCTGTTGTTTTATCCGGGGGAAACTTTTATGGAGGAGGTGGGACCGGAGCAGCACCCTGAAGGAGAAAAAAGCTTCGGAAATGGGAGAAAGTCAACCAGACAGGAGGTCCCCATGGACCAAGGCACAGACGAGAAAAAGACCCAGCACCAGAGACCCTTTGGGTGTGGGGCGGATGGAGTGTGGTTTCCTTGGCCCAGCAAAAATTCCCTCCAACAGCTCCCCCTTGTTGACGAGGTGGCACTACCACTTCTCCTGAGAGGGAGTGGTGTGGGCCTCTTGCTAAAAGTCACTTGGAGGTCCTGCAGTTGGCAGTTTCTAGACATGGTGGGGGTTCCTGAAATAGAAATGAGATTCACTCTCCACTTGGTGCCCCAGGGTTAAATCAGGATTGTGGAAGAGCCTCGATCTGAGCTGCCGGAAACCACCTCTGCGGAGCTTATCCACTTGGAGCACACTCCCCCATTGTAGTGTGGGAAGCACCACGGTCAGGAAAGACGTCTTGATCCCTGGGCACTTAGGTGGCCTTCCTGTCTCTGCTTGGAAAGAAACCAGAGGACCACCCAGAGTTTGTCTTAGGAGGGCTCAGGGTTCCTCTGGCCCACAGTCCCAGCCTCCTCGAACAGAACAAAGAGGGACCCTAAGGTCCAGAAAAAAACAACAGGGTTTCCCAGGAAGTGAATTAGCGAGTGAGTGAGAAGCCAAACCCAGGCCCTGTAATATCTGAACAGGAGTGGGGAGCGTGGGTTCCTTCTGTCTGTGACACGACAGTCACACTTCTGTCCGCAAGATGGAATGCCAACAGGCATGTTGGTTGGGTTATACCAAAGGGATCATAGTTTTTCTTTCCTTCTATTTTCTATCTTGATGAACATTTTTTTCTGTTTTGCTTTACACTGCCAGAAGATAAACAGAACCATGGCCCGTATTTCACAATTTACACAGTGATTTATTTCGTGTGCATTTGAGAGTGCCCCATGGTTGTCACTGTTTCCCCATCTGGAAGGAGGGAGGGGTTGCGTGCACGCACTGCAGCCACGGCCCTCCAACACTTTGTTGTGTTATGTCGTGCTCACTCCCCCCCACCTCCCGGCCCACTAAAGGGCGGTAAATCACAGGTGCTAATCAGTCCCTGTCCATTCCTTCAGGGTGGGCACCATTAAGAACCAAAACCAGCTGTGCTCAAGGGCCCCCGAGGCACAGAAGGAGGGACCCTCTCGCTTTGGCCACGCTGATACATCCTCTTCCAAAACTCCTTGAGAAGGCAAAACCCTGAGCTCTGAGATGAGGCCAGATGACTTGAGACAGGAAGTAGGGCTTTTGAAAAGTGTTGAGGGAAGTGGGGGGCGGGCGGAAGAGACATGTAAGAGCCCCATGCATAATGTTATGTTTTAAACCACATGCCTTTTTCCAGACCAAGTTATTAAATTAATTCAGAACTTATGCTCACACTTAAAAGATTTCTGCCATATTTTGTGAACACGATGATCTCAGAGTAATTTGCACTGGAAATGTGTCGTATTAAATCAGGGGCACTAATAAACTTTATTACTTAAACTCCACTTGGATCAGATGTGGCAGATAAACCATCCTACGATACTTTTGCACTCACATTCATGTCGTTGAAATATGGCTCCTCCTATGGGAAAACTAATAAACTTGGTACCACTCCCTCTACCCCACCTTAAACATACCCATCCAGGCTAGAGGACAGGTCCCCTGAATGTCCTGCTCCCCTGCACAGACACTAGTCATGGGATTGAGACAAGCTGGCCCCGGCAGAGACAGTGCCTTGGCATGTTGGCTCCTGTGGCTTTGCAACCTTCCATTTGCACTGGCACAGCCCTTGTGCTGGACTGTAATGGCTAAGAACAGTGTTACAGGTACGAGT